TGAGGTCTGTCAGCCTTCATCCTGTGATTGGCACTCACTCAAGAGAGCCAACATCTGATTTCTGGCCAGTTATTGAAGATAAACGGATATTACTTTCTTTTATGAAGCAAAGAGACCGGCAATCACTGCGGTGCGTGAGTCATTAGCCCTCAAATGAATCAGGACAATGGCCGTGCCAAGTGAGAGCGGCGGCAATTTAGGCTGCAAAGAGGAAATGCCCTGTCAAATCGATCTGCCTGCTGTGACATATCAGTATTTAACCTTCCTGCAGTCTCTATCTGAATGGTGTCGGTACATGATTTTGCACACCGGGCTGCTGTGGAGAATTGTTCCTCCCACTCGTCAGACCTTTCACCTGCTGCAAAGAAAAAAAAGCTGCTCAAAGGATGTCTTTACTGAGCAGTGTCTTCATTTTGTAGCGTACGTGGACCATTTAGACCCAAATGGATTGCATGTTCATGCAAAGGCATACAAGAACAGTTAGGAAGGAAGAGAGCAACCCCCGGGATGCAGGGAGAGTGACATCTGTTGGGCACATAGGGAACTACGTCTCTGTATGTTATTTAATGTTCCTGAAAGAAAGACTGACACCACTCAAAAAGCTCAACTTCTCCAAAGACATTTTCTTCCCAACTCCAAACACAGCAAAACACTGCATATTTTATCACACAAGAATTCATTTAAACTTTGCCTTAGGAGATGTGCACTGTAAACAGAAATCCTGTCCGGTTAATGCAGATGTCAGAAGCTTGATGCGTCCTTGCCTGCTAAGAACAATGCCACACAAAAAACATTGCAAAGCTCTTTTTTTTCCAAATTGACTTCCTGTCAGGAGGATTAGTCCATTTAAATGCAGATTTCTACCTGGTGTTGTGCCGTATTGTCTGACTCTCAGTGAGAAACGATTAAGTGCATGGGCGGGGTGTGACACCCCCCCTCCATTTAGATGAAGCTTTTGCCTTCAAGTTTATTTGTCATTCGCACAGAAGAGATCCAAATGCTGAAGACAAGACTAACTGGTTCCCAAGGACCAAAGTGACAGCTGAAAAA